ATAATGCTCCTTGATAGATTTTTTTTCTAAAGAAAATTATTGTAGATTTATTCTAAAACAAAAAAAAGAAACAAATTTAAATTAAATTAATAAAATCGTTTATAATTTATATTAAAAGTTATAATTTGTTTTAATGGTAAGTTATCCTTTATGCTGAACGTTCTTTTAATTTAAAAATCTTCTCGAAATTGTTTTTTTCTCTTCTTGTTTTACAGGAGCCAGTTAATTTTAGAATGCCATCTTAAATTTAATATCAGAGAGAAATAAAAGAATTATGGGGAAAGTTAGTAGAAATATAAAAGTTTTCTAATGTAAAAACCATTTAGAAACACGTTTCTCAGTTTAAATAATGACAGAATAAGAAAATGGACATTGTATTTCTTTTTTTTTTTTTTTGCCTTTTTTGGAGGGAAGAAAATCGCTTTTTTTAATTATTGACTAAATTAACAAATTAAAAAATTCAGTCAAAAAGTATTGATTAAACAATAAATAATAATAAAAATAATAATAATTGTCATTGTCGTTTCGTTGTACAATTTAATAATCATTAAGTTATTCTGATTGAATACTCTTTAACTTTTATTTTTTAATATTGTGAATTTTCGAAAGATAAAAATGATTTCGTGTATACTTTATATAATAGTTTAAGTTTATTTTTGTGATTTTAGTTTTAGAAAGGATGCCTTCAGGATATTTCTATATGTTTCTTATATTGCTTTAAAAAATTCTTTTTCTTGTACATAGGTTGGAAGGTCTTTCTCGTCAACAAATGTTTTCTTAGTATAGTTNAATCTCTGTAGACTAGGTAGTCAATATATATAGCAACTTTATCACAAAAGCAGAACTTGTTTGAGGCAGATCTAAGTTGGGAAGAAGTGAATAGCTGTCTGTAATTGCATTATTTATATTTTGTATTCTTTCGATATAAACTAGTCGATAAGTGAAGAAAAACTATTCTATATATATTATTTTTTCGGCGTGGAGAAACAGTCCTTACTCTATTTGTAAGAGACTTAGACATGCAAATTACTCAGATAAGTGGAATTCCAGGTCGAACAACGCGGAAATCTAGTTTTCACGGAATCTCTGACTGGAATTCCGATCAATTCCACGCTTCTTTACCGTGACTCGTGGTAGCTTCCTATTCTTTTCTGATTTTTGGTGCCAAACTGCATCACGTGACCGGCTCCGAAAAATGCTTTCGTAATATAAGAGTATGATAATACTAAATTTCAAATGAATCGATTAAATCTAGGCGCCATCTTTGATTTTTTTAAGTATTGGTTTGAGCGTGATTCTATATCGTTAAGTATTATAAGTGTACCATTTCCGCATTTTATGGAAGACTGCGAACGTTTTAAGTCATTTTGTTAGAGATTGGAGAAAGTTCATTGACCTTTTACTACTACAACACGTCTAGTAAAAATTACAATAACCGAAACAAATTACTACATCCCAAATACTTTTTAAAATAAAATATTAATCGAGATTTTAAAAGGAGAACTATTCATTCCATGCTTTTGTAATTCGATACTTTTACGTTAAATTTATATCGAGTTTTAAATAAAAGATTATATGTTTAAATATTTATTTCTCTCATGCTTTAAATGGATTGAAGATTTATTAATATTCGGTATCTGGTAAAAATGTCGAAGAATCATCGTCGCTTCAGATTTGACTCGACAATAATCAGCAGAGCGAGAAACGAATTAAGGAAAGGGATACCTATCTGCTCATTCAAAGCAAAATTTCTCTTTGCATTTACATAACTTATAAAAGCATTTTCTATCGGGAGAAAGTTAATTCGTTTTTTTTTTTCCTTCCTTTTCCTCCTCCTCTACTTTTAGTTTTTCTTTTTGCATATTGATAAAAATCGCCAAGTAAAAACCTTTCGAGTTAGTCTGGCATGAAATAGTATTTTTGGAAATTTCTCTGTCAAGAACTTACTGAAAACTCTACCGTTGATTCGTAAAAAGTACGTCAAGCCGTTGATGATCGATTCTGTATTTTATTTTCGGAGATTCATAAATTTCATGCGTGACAAGAACGTGAAAGTGTGTCGTTTATATATAACTTAACCTTAAAGTTTGATGTAATATTCTGTTAAAAATTAGTTTCGATATTTAGATAAACAAATTATCGTTCGAAGAACTTTCATGCGGTTCATCAAAAATTTTTTAATGTTTGGATATCAAAATCTTTAGATGTTGATTGATGAAAGACGTCGACCGACTCCTTCAGACAGGTTAAATCGTGATATGAATTTTTTTTTCTCTCTCTACAAACGTTTCGATTTATATTAAAAACAACTATATATCAATTTTTCAATATTAATTTTACATAGATTATCATAAATTTCCATTTTTTACCATAAAATATTTTTATTCAATAAAACCTTGCTACATTTTTCTATTTTCTAACGTAAAGTAACGAAGATATTTCGTAACGTAACGTAACGTAACATCTTTCAACTTCTATTTTCTATCATAAAATGGCCCTCAATTGTATCATTTTTCTTTCATAAAATGGCCTTCAAATGTACCATTATTCTATCATAAAATGGTTTTCTATTTCCAGGGCTGTAAGCTTTATATCAAAAAATATATTTCAATAGTTTTCTATAGTAAAATATTTTTCAATCGATAAAAAAAAATAAGTAGTAACATCATGGTAATGTTCTAGTTTTGTTTTTAAATAAATAATAATTATTATAAATTACGTAAAAAATTCATTAAGAATTTTATGTTTATATATTAAATTTATAAGCATTTAGTTTTAAATATTTAAAAAGAAAAAAAAATTTAAGTCCTTTCTTACGCTTCGCATTATAAGAGCATAAATTTTAGAATATGGTTTAGTCGATTCTCTTTAATTGTGTCTTTCTTATCGCAAAAAGAAAGCACTTTAATGCCCTTTTCTTTTTCCTTTTTTGCATATAATTAAGTAAAAATTCTGAAGGAAATAGAGCGATTTGTTACTTCAGAAAATACATTAACGAGAAAATTTCTCCGATAATAAACAACGGCCATTAGTTCATGGAAGTTATACCAGATGGCGATAGTTACCGTCATTTTCCATCCCTTCCACTCTGGGAGTAGCACGTGTGCCATCTAATTTTGAACGACATTTTCCCAAATGGCATTACCGGGAGACAGACATATACAGTTGGAGATTCTCTTTCCAAAAAGTTGGGAATTGTCAATCAACTTACGTCATATTGACCGAACAGGGTCAAGAAAATAGACAGTTACCATCTGCTGTCTTCTTTCCCTCGTATTTTTTTTTTTTTTAATATTTCTGTACTACCGGAAACATTTCTACCCCTTGAGGACTTCAAAAAAATCTGCCAAACTAGACAAAAAGATGGGGAAAAATCTATCCAAGTTAGTACTTTCTCTTGGGATAAGACCAAGTTTGAATTTAGATATCAAAACTGATAGGTTTTCTAATATTACTTTTGTGTCATAAAGTTGTGTCAAATATCTAACGATATTTTTGTACGTAAGAAACGCTAAGAAGATGAGGGATGTTGATTAGAATGAAAATTTCAGATACAGAAATTGCTTGTAGTCTTATTACTTTGTGAATTACAGTAGGAGTTCAATTTTTTCCAAAGTAATATTATCAAAAATTACTTCAGCAGATAGTGATACGACGTAAAAAATCGCAGATCTAAATTATATTGAAAGGATGGAAATTTATTTATTATCTAGCCAAGAGTTATCGTGCCAAAATGCATCGTTACATCAATATCTTTATAATTATTAACTTAATTATCAATAAAACTATAATAATAATATATTATTAATATATAATTTCACTTAATAATCATTTTAATCAAAATTAAAACGAAATTATGTATATAACTAGTTGATTTTTATCGAATTAATTTTTTAATTTTAGCAAAAAAAAAAGACGAGTTTTTCGTTGTTAATTTAACAAAATTCTTTTATATTTAATGACTGAATCAAATAATAAAATTAAATTTTGTCGGTAGTAAAGGTAACATTAAAAACTTTTTTTAAACATATGAAGTTAATTGAGAAATAAAATCGAACGTTTCATATCTTTTAGTATGATATAACATAAATCAAATTTTAAAATGTAATTATGTTCTGTGAAATTATAAAATTGAAGAAGCAACTTAAAATTGAACATAAATAAAAAAGAAAATTAAAACATATCAATACTTTTGAATTAGTTTTATTGCATAGTATCGTGTTTAGCGCCTGCCAATCGCTAATTTCAAAAAAATAATCCAATTTTAATTTATATTTTTGACATATTTTAGAGAGAATAAAAGATTGCTTTGTTTAATTTTAACTACTCTAAAGATTTATCTGATAAATCCATTAATGCTCGGTTGATTTTAACCTTGTTATTAGTATTTAATTTTCGAGTTAGATTATAAAATCTCGCCTATCAAATATAATTTAAAATTAAACAAACAAAAAAATTCATATCGATAATGTTTCGATTCCATTTAAATATTACGCAAGTGTAAATTCAATCAATCATTTGGGTTGATGTCAGCGAAAGTACTTATGATATTTAACGATTTGCAACAGCTGCTTTCCATAATAAAAAAAAAAAATCTGAACAAGTTCAACCAAGAGATGCCTTCAGAATTTAATTAAACATAGAATTAAACTCGTATGCGGTTTATGAATTATTTTGTTTATTTTTTGTCCGATAAACAACATGATAAATACGTTGTAAAATCAACTCTTTTGGTTAAATTCTGCAAACTATTATTCATCACCAACAAATTATACTTTAAATAATTAAAGGGACAAAAATAAGCAAAAAAGGAATGTTTGACATTAACAAAATTACCGTTGAAATAGTGTTAATGCTATTTATTAAAACAATTAGCGTTGAATTTTTCAAATTATGATTTGAATTATTAAAACTTTCATTAACGTGATATTTACTAATATTTTAAAAGAGAATGTAATTAACTAATAGATTTTATGGTTAGAGACGGACGTTTGTATTACCTTTGGCACAGACGGCACCAGAAAAACTAGTATGGGAACAATCACAGATGAAGCGATTCCAACCTTCCTCGCAATGTCCTCCATTCAGGCAAGGTTGACTATCGCATTGAGTAGGAGAAGTGTGACAAGCGGGACGGATGCTTCCGGAATCTTGTTTTTTAGCGAATACGGCGATATCTACAGCTTTACCATTAACCACCAAATCTCTCATGCAGCCCACATAACCATATCTCAACATTCCCGACCACAGTTCACTAGGCACAGACATTCCTTGATCGCTGACTCCCACTCCTCCCAAGTAAAGAGCTCCTTCCAAGTCCAGCTGGTTGGAGTTACCTGTAAGTAAACATATTTTTACAATAATGAAATGTACAAAAACTAGGAAGGAATACAAAGTGACTATCTCGATATAGAGACAGAGTTTGTTAACATAAAGTGCAAAATGATGTTGATCAAAACTTCTTTTCTAGACGACGACATCCTTTACTAACTTTTTTGCTTCTGTCGTTTATGAAAAAATAACGTAACAAGGAAACTGTTTCAGATTAGTATACTTAGTTTCCATTGATATAGTGCTATTTATTATGTCGAATTTCTGTTTCAATGTGCAATTTTCTATTCATTTAAACGAAATTTTTAGAGGAGAATCGATATACTTTAATCGAAAATTTATATAAATAGTTTTTATTTGATATTTATTTAACTAAGATAAAAAATTAATTAATTTATAATGAAACTTTTAAAAAGAATTTTTTTAAATTACATAAAAACTGTTAAGGTTTTTTTTAAATGTAACTTCTGAAATAAATTAATTTTAAACAGTCAATTTTAAAACTTTCGTGATTCGATTTGCCTCAAAACCTAATTAAGTTAAAGTTTTAAAAAATAAATAATATTTTCTAGAGAATTACAAAGTTAGAATCTTTGATAATTCTTCAGTTTGTCAGCATTCATTTGGATCGAGTACCATTCTCATCATTACGTCCTCAAATCAGCTTATTATTTAGTTGAGCAATAAATATAACTGAATGTGCCTCTTAATTATTTCTAAATCTTAAACTGGAAATTCCAGTGTTTACTCAAATTCCTAAGGAATTTCTGGAACTTAATGAATTAAAATCATTACAATCAAAATTCACTTCCGTTATTGCTCCTTAAATATGATTTTACTCTTCGTTTATCTTCATTTTCTTTATCAACAGCATTTCTTGAATTGAATAATTTAATTATCAAACAATTTTCTGTTACTTCTTTGATCTTTTTTAAATAATTAAGAGATAATTTTAAATTTTAATGAAGCTCCTAAGTGCCAGAAAGAAAAAGGAAAAAATATATATATCAGTAAATCTAATTATTTTAAGATGAACAACTTAACAAAACTGTAAATTTTATTTGCATAGCATTAAAGATAATTGATATAAAAATAAATATATATTTAAGTAAATAGGTATTAAAATAATTTATTTTAAAGATGATCGAGTTTGGTCTTACGTAATTTATTGTTTTATAAGTGAAGTTTAGTGGTAATTTACCGCTTACCTGGGGTTATAAAGTCTACAGCAGATTCATCTACGGTTACACGACCAGACTTTCCTGTTCTCCTTAATGACACAGTATGCCATTGACCATCATCGACTCTTCTTGTAGTGGCTTTTGCCTTGACCGCACCGGATCCAAGATTAAGTAACAAGAACACGTGTCCGTCGAGTAACTCGAAAGCGAAAAAATCCCCTTGGGCAGTGGCACCACTGTTATACATTAAGACTCCATTAGGTTCATTAGTACGGATCTTGAATGAAATGCTTCCAGCTCTCGCTGCTTCCCAACTTGGTAGAGCCTAGATGACAAAAAAAAAATGCTTATAAATTATGACCTTCTGGGAACGAAAACACTTTATAATAATGGATAAAATAATTTTAAGACAATGTTTATACTAATAAAAAGCAAATATTAAACGTAACGTAACAAAATACAGGCGAAGAAATGCATAAAAAAAAGGTTATTGACCGGTAAGTTATCGTATATCGATAAATGATGGAATAACAAAACGAATTGTTACGGAAAAGATCACATGGCTTTGTTATCAGTTAACCAGAATAATTTTTTTCACAATTACATAAAAAAGTAAATAGTTTTTACGAATAAATGTATATTACACGCTCCATCACATTATATTGAATAATTTAACAATTATAAAGTATTTTTATGCATCATTCGTTGCATTATATTTAAGATGTTTAAAGTTGTTTTACATCAAAATATTATTTTAAAAACGAATTTTTATTTAAACGTAAATAAGATAAATTTAATTAAACATTTTAATAAATTTTTTGCTATTCGTTATACAAAATTGATTTTCTTCCATCCTTAAAAATACATTTAAAACAAGAAAAACAAAGGAGTGGTACTTAACTCAGGAGTTCATGAATTGTCTTCATATAAATTAACTTTGGCAAGAAAAATAACAACTCCTGATTGATTAAGAGATTAGGTAAAGAAAATTATAAGCTTTCACAAAGTTTATCAATCACGGAAAATGTCTTATAAGATCTTGTTGTGATCTATATTATTTATCATTTATATAAATGGTCTTTGGTTCATGTAAATTATGATTAGAAGAGAAGATAGCTGACCCGAATTGAATGAGAAATGAATAAAAATTTTTGCTATTAAAACTTGAATATTAGTAAGATCTTTGATTACCTAAACATCTTCCTAAATTAAGATAAAGAGAAACGAGTTTCTGTAATTAAGGAAAGTAAAAGTAATAGGTTAATATTTTATTTGGATTGCTAAAGATAACCATTTTGGTAATGTTTATTAACAATATTCTTATTTTTATTGCTAACATTAAAAATCTTTAATATTATTTTTATTTTTCATAATTACAACTAAAGAGATTTTATATAAAATTTCAATTATATGATTATTATCTTTTTTCTTTTAATAAATTTTCGGAAATTAGCTTCATAAACGAAAAACACAGAATGCCACTTAAAGAAAACAGCAACGTGAATCAAATACTGTAAACAATACAATGTAAAAAATCAGTATAAAATCAAATACTGTAAACAATACAATGAAAAAAATCAGTGTAAAATCAAATACCGTAAACAACGTTGAATCTGGCATTGAAACTTTCGAAGTTCAATATTAATAAATCGTTAATTTTTGTTAGACGACGTTTATGTATAAGCTTTAACAAAATCAATGGCAATCTCTGTAGACTAGGTAGTCAATATATATAGCAACTTTATCACAAAAGCAGAACTTGTTTGAGGCAGATCTAAGTTGGGAAGAAGTGAATAGCTGTCTATCAACCATCTGCTAGGTGACGATATTGGGTCACAACAGTGAAGGCAATAAACCGGATCTCAACGGTATCGAGATCATTGAAACCCATAACCCCGAGAGAAATTTCATCGTTCCAGTCGACTTAACACTTCAACTGCACTCTTACATCACTTTTAATCTATGGCTTCTCCACCAGTAGATTTTCTCATAGGCACTCGAATCTCTCGACATCCAGTCTAAATGTCTTTGTAATATCGAAAAATTTCGATATTACCGAGACATTTTCAGTATTTCGACTACGATCATTCCACTAAAGAATAAAATATATCTATAACATTTTCTATAAATTAAATTCGAATAAATCCAAAATGAAATTTAAAAATTTCACATCCGTAAATCTGTTCCCTTTAAATTATAAATAAGAATTTTTTGACAGAATTAAATTGTTAGAATAATTAAATTTCGTGTAAAAATTTATATAAAAATTAACCAGCGATGAATGCTTTTATCTAAATACTAAAAGAAAAGAAAATTTTCCAATTATTGAATTTTTAGGTGAACAAAATTATTGCTTGTGAAAATAAATTTAAAAGTGAAAGAATGAAAAAATTATATATTAGATTTTTTTTAAGTTTCTATTGAAAAAAAAATTAGAATTTACTTCTAATTTTGCAATAAATTAGATAAGGAATTTGCAATAAAAAGGATTTCAAACATGATTTCTATATATTTTTTTCCTTAGATGCTTATTTAAATCTTTGTTTACGTATGAAATTTATAACTTTATTTGATTATTTTTGAAACAATTTTCTCATCTTTCATTTTTTTGTTTCTATTCTCTCCCAATATTTTTAATAGAAAAGCTGAAAATGTCAAAAATAAAATAGGAAAATATTTCTGTTATTGTAGATTTAAATTATATATTCAAATTTTTGACAAAAAATGTGTAATTCGAAGCAATAATACTCCTAAAACAATACAAAAAAGTTATAAAAATTCGTTTTTATTGCTTCTAAATCTAGAATTACATTGATCTTAAGTTTAAATTTTAATGCAATAAGGATTTTTTAAGGATTAAATATCGTTATTTAAAACTCATTTTTCTTAAGTTTCATCAACAATGACAAAACTTTTATCAAATAATAAGAGATTTATTTTATTTCATTAAAAAATATATTAATAGGGCCGTATTTACACATAAGTTAAACAAGCTTCAGCTTAGGGCTTCATATTTTTAAACGTGTCATTATTTACTGGATGGAAGGACTTGTTATATGTTATAGCTTAGAGCCTCATATTTTTGCACGTATCATTATTTAGTGGAGGTGAAGGTCCTGTTATATGTTACAGCTTAGGGCCACACCCCTGAAAGTTAATCGCATTTAATTTAATCTGTTATTAAACGTTATTACTATATATCATGCTCGTGTGATTGTCATATATTTATATCATAAATAATATAAATGACTCAATTTAAAAAATTATATTTTTAAATAAATACTGTATAATGCTCCTTGATAGATTTTTTTTCTAAAGAAAATTATTGTAGATTTATTCTAAAACAAAAAAAAGAAACAAATTTAAATTAAATTAATAAAATCGTTTATAATTTATATTAAAAGTTATAATTTGTTTTAATGGTAAGTTATCCTTTATGCTGAACGTTCTTTTAATTTAAAAATCTCCTCGAAATTGTTTTTTTCTCTTCTTGTTTTACAGGAGCCAGTTAATTTTAGAATGCCATCTTAAATTTAATATCAGAGAGAAATAAAAGAATTATGGGGAAAGTTAGTAGAAATATAAAAGTTTTCTAATGTAAAAACCATTTAGAAACACGTTTCTCAGTTTAAATAATGACAGAATAAGAAAATGGACATTGTATTTCTTTTTTTTTTTTTTTGCCTTTTTTGGAGGGAAGAAAATCGCTTTTTTTAATTATTGACTAAATTAACAAATTAAAAAATTCAGTCAAAAAGTATTGATTAAACAATAAATAATAATAAAAATAATAATAATTGTCATTGTCGTTTCGTTGTACAATTTAATAATCATTAAGTTATTCTGATTGAATACTCTTTAACTTTTATTTTTTAATATTGTGAATTTTCGAAAGATAAAAATGATTTCGTGTATACTTTATATAATAGTTTAAGTTTATTTTTGTGATTTTAGTTTTAGAAAGGATGCCTTCAGGATATTTCTATATGTTTCTTATATTGCTTTAAAAAATTCTTTTTCTTGTACATAGGTTGGAAGGTCTTTCTCGTCAACAAATGTTTTCTTAGTATAGTTACAATATTAAATTTCTTCATTCTTTATTCTTTCGCTATGGTCTTCTGTGGTTTTATTCTTTTTATTTTGTATTAATTCTACTAAAAGAAGACTGATAAAAATATATGTTTTTCTTCTATTTAGTTGAAAATGCCTCAACGAAATTTTTCTTAAGCATTATTGATCATTTGCACTCAAGAGAGAAACCTTTAGAACGAAGTGCATTGTATGCTGAATATTATGAAAAACATCTCCACGTTTCTTTCATATAAATTTAAAATTCTTTTATTCTTATCCCAAGAATTGTTAAAAATTTAATCTAGTTTTTATAATGAAATTTCAATACATTATGCGTTATTAATTTTTTAAATAAAAATTGCATGATATTTTACAATAAACAATATAATTTTGTGCAGTATTTTACTTCGTATTGTGAAATTAGATTAATTTAATGAACTCACAAAGCAAGCTTTTATTTAATTATATATAAAATGTGACTTCTAAGTAAACAAATTTCTAAACAGACTCGAGATCTAATAGAGTAGTTCTTTTTCATGATGCAAATAAAATATTATAGAAGCGACAAAATACAATGTACAAAATTATTTTAATATAATAATAATTCGTTCGTTTAATAATAATAATTTTAATGAAAAATAATTCTTATTTACAAGGATAAGGCCTTCTGAACTTAAAATAAAATGAGAAATTAAAAAAAAAATATGTCTAAAATATTCGTATGATTTCACTTACGATATAAGTCATATAAATTAATAATTTTATAAATATTTAAACTATAAACTCCCCTTGCGAGAAATTAATTTGAGTGAAATTTTCAAAGAAATAAGATATGAAGAGATAAAATTACGAAATTTGTTTACTGACGAGATCCAAAGTTAAAATTTTTAAATCGATTTTTGTATATTTATCCATCTTTATAATAACACAGTTTAATTTAATTCATTAAAATCTACTGATATTTATAAAATATTTAATAAATTATATTTGAAATTTTAAATAATAAAATTATAAAAAGCATCCAAAGGGGTATAAAGTATGGGGAGGGAGCTTGTTAACAAGTCACTTTCCAATTGGTATGATCAGATGTTATATCATCAAATTACTCACTTATAGTTATAAATATGTATATTTATTATTTAAAATATTTTTAAAAGTTAATAAAAAGAAGGGCTTCTTTTCTGTAGGAAAAGCGTCATTGTCCAAACTTTGCACACTGGCGTCGGTGACAGGATGCTCTTAATTGAATTATTT